CTTCACATTTGCTATGGGTTACCCTTTCAATATATTTGGAATTTAAAATGTCGAAAGGTAACAATTTTTGTTCTTTAATTACTCTAAATCTTATGGATTTGTAGTTATATATATGTAATTTGCCAAAAAAATTTTTTATGTGGCTTGTAATTTACCAAATTTTTTTGTTTGCCAAATTTGTCAAGCACATGAATCCAGCTACAAAGGTATTTTAAGAGATTCAGAGCCATAATGAACAAGACAATTCAGCTAGTTGTATTTTGAGAAAGAGAGAGCAATAATGAACAAAACATGGAATACGTACTTCTAGCAGGATTGGTGATTGCAGATTACTACTTGAAATCGGGAAATTGTCTGTTCTTTTCGACCTCACAAATCTGTACTTTCTTAATTGAAGCAAAAACTCGGCACAATTTGAAAACCAAGTGCCTATATTTTTTATAGCCTTTTTCATATAGATATACTCAGAGGTCCGCTAACAGTAAGGCCAATTTCTCATCAGAAACTCTAACTTCAATGCATGTCCCAGTTGAGGCTGCAAGTCTTGCAGCCAGTTGATGCTTACACTGTAAAACCGAAACAAATTAGCTTCCAACTTCACAATAAGATAAAAAGGCAAATTGGCCTTTACTAAAATTGTTTGAGATAATTTTGACAGTAGCAAACATTTCACAGTTGCGTCCTTCAACTCTTGAAGTTTTCACAAATGATCCTTAGTTTCTTCAAATTCGAAACTACTCTTTTGTTCATAATTTCATATCACACCCAAAACTGAAGGATAATTTCATTAAAAGAAATGAAGAATGCGTGAACAGAAACAACGTAGGGAGAACTAAAGAAACTCACACAAAGTTCTTCTCCTTTGTTTACAATGTCATAGAAGAATGAATAACAAGCACAATAATGTTCCCCAAAGCACAAGTACTCTTCCTTTCTCCTAGATTCTCCCACAACCTACTAAAACAGAAAATTTATTAGAATGTAGAAATCCAGAACTACTTACAAAAACTAACAAATGAGGTCTATAGTCTACTTAGGAAAGAAAATCACACCTGCAAAACAATTACAATTACTGGGCACTTTTGCAGTTAGCCTAGAACCATATGACTGGTTATGACAATTACTGGGTACCCTTGGATATGAAAAAAAAAAAGAATTTACATATTTTCCTTTCTATCTCACTTTTTCCTACCTTATTTTTAATAATATATTTTTGAGAAAAAAAAAATTACTACACAGTTTACCGTAATAAAATCTACTATTTAATTATTATTTTTACATCACACTGATGTTGGCATTATATTTCCATTTTATCACCAAATACGATTCAAATTATTCTTCTCCCTCAAAACGTTTTTCTTTCTACCGATATAAAAGTTTTCCAACAAAAGCATGTCTAATTGCACCTTACCTTTAGTGTAAATTTTTAATTCGCTATTGAAACTTATCCCCACAACAGAATAATCTCTCTCCCTACACACACACACACACACACAAACACATTAAAGAGAGAACACACCTGAAAAATGAATAGGCCACTGGGCTCACCGGAAATCCTCTTGACTCCCTTTTGATCAAAAATCCTAGTGGCTTTCTCGAAATTCTTCCCATATATAAAATGTAATCTGTATATAACAAATTAAAATGGTTACTCAATATAATAAATGGTGAANAAATATAGGCTACAGTACTCACATGGACAGCTGATCATCCGTGACTGTTGGAGGACAGTTACATATTTTCCGTAATATAGACCAAAAAATTATCAATATTGACGAGTAGAACAAAACAAACATGGAAGTCGAGAAATAATCTGAATCGTAATTGAAAATAGAAAGAGGCGAACCTGAACGGGTCGACTCAATAGCCTCCCAAACTGATTCTGCGACCAAATTGGAAGTGCTCATCTTAAATCCCCAGTTGAGTTTTCTGCCCACAAATCTATTTGTTTGTTAATATGCATAAAAACTAAGATGAAAACTAAAAAGGAAGGAATAGGGGGTTAATTGGACTTAAATCCCCAATCCTTATTTCATTCATAAACTACACCTATAAATATAATTATTATTATTTATCATTTAATTTCATTCATAAATTATAAAAACTCAGAACAAAAGAAAAAAAAAGGCCGACAGACTCTCTAAAACCCCAAATCCTCAAAAAATCAATCCCAACTCAAATTGTTATTTTCTTTCAATTGCTTGTTTTCCTTCAAGTACAATCCGATTGAATATGATTAGTGTTGGTTTGATGGCTTTTCATGAATTGAAGAAAGCTGCGGAGGGGAAGGAAATTGAGGCTTCGATGTGGGATTTTCCGGCAATGAGATTAAACCATAAAGAGAAAAATGGAAATATTGTTTGTGAAGAGTTTCTGTTTTTTGTGGTCCTAATGGATTGTTTTATCATAAACCATTGTGTTTTTCTTGTTATTTTCTGATGATGTGTGTTTGTAATAGTCATGATTGTTAATCACTGTTTTTATTTACTTGCTTTTTCAACTCTTGTCTTCTAATAAACAGTAATCGAAAAACAAATACAAGAATTAGTTAAGTCCATAACTAAACATTTTCACTTTTCTGAGTTGAGTTTCTAAAAGATATGAAGAAATAGTGTGCATTCATGGGAATTCATTTAGAAACAAACAAGAATACTTTCTTTGCATACTCCTAAAGATTCCTAAAACACCACATACAAACAAGAAACAATACTTTTGTCAACAAACTGCTAACACAGGTGGATTTGCTCAAGAAACAGAAAACACATCAAACAAATCTAGCAACACTCACATTTAGCATACCTAAAAATCTTAAACTAGCTTACAATTATCTCCACCCCACACATAGTTTATATTATATTAAAACCAAAAAGGAAAAGATTAACCTTGCACGAAAAAAACCAATCGTCACGCGTTAATCCCGGCATTGCATTGATTCTCCCTCTTGCAGCTCCTATGAACTTCCGACGTCATTCTTCAAGCCGAGCCCGATCTATCAGCCGATAATTCTCCAACGACCGACTAATCAGATCCGACCGTCCTTGCGTTTTGAAGCACGATTCTCGGCCGGAACCGACCTTGAAGGCCAAACAAGCCGCGAAGTTTCACCGTTAATCGTCGGAGTTGGTGATGACCATCCGCCGGTGGACAATTTTTCGCCGTTGAGAGTGTGTGCGTGTTGCGTGTGGTGACTGATGGCAGAAAAAATGAACATTGCCCTTCCTTTTGGGCTTTTGGGCCTGGGAGATAAATATGGAGGAAATTACATCCTCCACTTTATTATTCTATTTTATTTGCAAAAATACATCTAATATATAAATATTTGTAAAATTGTGGAAAGTGTTACTTTTATTTTCAAATATGCTAGAAACTTGAATCTATATCTATATCTATATATATATAATTGCTAGCTCAAAATATTTAATAAAATCTATTTAATTTTACCTATGTGGTAATTTAACAATTTTCCCTCCAAAAACCGTTACATTTTGATGTACTTAATCTTTCATTTAATCATTAAATAAGTAATACTCATCACTTCAAAATTACAAAAATTATTTTAAATTTTTTATTAATGACAGTTGACCATATAATGTGTTGACCGTATAATGTGATTAGATGTTATTATTGTTGTTACATTTATTTTTTTTTAAAATAAAAAATATATTTAAAATTCCTAAATAAATAATAAATAATTCACAAATAAAAGACGTACCAAAATATACATTACATCCAATCAGATAAACGCAATTTAAAAAAAAATATTCTAACTCTTTTAATTGTAAATTTGGTCTGCAAAAAAGTGAAAGAAAAATAATTAATCATTATATGCATACAGACTCACAATAATTTATTTATATCTGTGCAAATGCACAGGTCGAATACTAGTATATATAATTGCTAGCTAAGCAATAAATTTTATCTAATAAATAAAACCTAATAAATTTTACCTATGTGGCAAATCATTAATAAAACCTAAAAAATGGAACCTAATAAATTTTATTTATGTGCCATTAATACACCCAATCTCATTAATAAGAAAATATTTCATTACATTTTTTTGGGTTAATTAAGACCAAAACCATTATATTTTATGTTAATTGATTAATAATTATATTTTTCATTGCATAATATAATAGTTAATATTAAAATTAGTAATTATATTTTATACTAAATAATATATGAAAGTTACATAAAATTATATTTTACACTAAAATCAATATTTTTTTATATGATGAAGATGTTGTTTATTAATAAATTAATTTTTTTTATGTCATGGTAAAATTTCTTAAAATCACATAAGCAATTATTATAATAATGTAATAACTTTCAGCTAATTAATTGGTCATGATCACTCAAAATTATAAAAAATATATATTTATTACATTTTATGCAATCAATATAGTGATTCGTATACAATCAAATCATGTGTACTATTTATTTTAACCAATGATCAAATTTTAAAATATAATACTATTATATAATTTATAATTTTAATATTATATACATAAATATAACTTATAATACTATATGTTTGAAATATAATACAATTATATAACTTATAATTTTTATATTATATACATAAATATAACTTATAATATTTAATTTCATTTACATTTGTGCAAATGCACAAGATCGAATACTAGTATATATAATTGCTAGCTAAGCAATAAATTTTACCTAATAAATAAAACCTAATAAATTTTACCTATGTGGCAAATCATTAATAAAACCTAATAAATAGAACCTAATAAATTTTATTTATGTGGCATTAATACACCCAATCTCATTAATAAAAAAATATTTCATTACATTTTTTTGGATTAATTAAGACAAAAACCATTATATTTTATGCTAATTGATTAATAATTATATTTTTTATTGAATAATATAATAGTTAATATTAAAATTAGTAATTATATTTTATACTAATTAATATATGAAAGTTACATAAAATTATATTTTACACTAAAATCAATATTTTTTTATATGATGAAGATGTTGTTTATTAATAAATTAATTTTTTTTTTATGTCATAGTAAAATTTCTTAAAATCACATGAGCAATTGTTATAATAAATGTAATATTTTTCAGCTAATTAATTGGTCATGATCACTCAAAATTATAAAAAGTATATATTTATTACATTTTATGCAATCAATATAGTGATTCGTATACAATCAAATCGTGTGTATTATTTATTTTAACCAATGATCAAATTTTAAAATATTATACTATTATATAATTTAATTTTAATATTATATACATAAATATAACTTACAATACTATATGTTTGAAATATAATACAATTATATAACTTATAATTTTTATATTATATACATAAATATAACTTATAATATTTAATTTTATTTACATCTGTGCAAATGCACAAAGTCGAATACTAGTTTGGGTTAGAGCATCTCCAATGTTATAAGTGTGAAAGACCATTATTTTTAACACATGTCAATTAGTGATTGTAATGTTAATCCACAGTGGAATAATGTTAAAAGACTAAAAATTTCAATGAAACTAGTATCTCCAATGCATCAATTTGATAAGAAGTTATTTGTATAGGTGGACCAATTAAATAATTCATTGATACAAAAAAAAAAAATTAAAATAAATATAAAGTAAATTGATGAGTCATCATGTTTAACATAATGTTAGATATTAGAAAGTGTGCTCAACATTGTCAACATTAAATGACATCCACCTCATCATGAAAGAGTTCATGACAAGATGCATCGGAGAAAAAAAATAGAGACACACTTTCAAAAATTGATGATATGAATGACTTTTTATAATGTCAAAAGTTGCATTGAAGATGCTCTTAGTTAGCTAAGGGCGGATATCATGGAACATTACTCAACCAATTTCCATAACTGATCACGTATCTTTACGATAAATTGGACAAAATTTATTTCCTATTAATGGAGAATTTATTCTTCTTCCCATCTCTCCTCTTTCTTCTTCTTTTTCTTCTTTGACAGTCCTCTCAACCCTTGTAAATGATTTTTTTTTCTTCCCACAGCAAATATTTTTTTTATTGGTAGCAAATAATTTGATTGTTAGGAAGGCATCACCGGATGCGGTTGCTTCTTTTTCGATACCTGCGATTGTGTTTTTGAAGATGCAACCCCATCCCTCGCGCCGCCCTCATCGTTCGCGCCGCATCTGCCTCCCCCTCGCTCAAGCACCGCCGCCTCACAGACGAGAACATCCGCGACGAGGCCCGCCGCTATGTCTTGTCCCACGGCTTCTCCGCCAAATACGTCCCCTTCAACGAGGGAGAAGAGGAATATCTTCTGGAGGATGATTTCCTCAATTATCGCCGGCGTCCTTTAAAGAGGGTTTCGGTGTCGCCATGATCGGCAGGAGTATATGTTCAGTATATCTACAATATATGCATAGTATATGTTCATGGCAGCATATATTGCGTGTATAGGCATGTAATACATATTCACATTAGTATATGTTGCAAGCAGGCTGTATATGTGGTGTGTGTATGGAGTATATGTTCAATATATTAGAAGATTTTTTTGTAAACTGTTGAGATTATGTTGTGTGTATATGGAGTATATGTTTAATATATTAGAGGATTTGTTTGTATAGAGAATATAACTAACGTGTTATAATATGTTTATAAACTACATATATACTTTTATGTATTAAAAAAAAAGACATAATTTTTGATGGAATACATGTTTTTCATTGTAACATATACTGAATATATACTGACATAAACGCAACATATACCCAACTGGACAACTGCGTGATTACAATACATGTTTTTATCTCTCTATTTTCCTGTTAAAATCGCGGAAATCACGCCCAAGATATGGAATGGATGATGTTTACAATGGGTAACTGATTTTTAGGCATTGACGTAATTATTTTTGGTATATTAGGTATATACCCAATTATTTGTTATTCAATGCTAATTTCAAAATTTCTTTAATTTCGTGTAGTATGTACAAAAATTTCCCATAAATATGGGTTGTTGAAATTTACTATCGAGATATCTTGTGGTCACTAAAGAGGCGTGATAAACAAATTTGAGCCGGAGTATATACGAGTGCCACGGTTGATTAGAAATCAAAAATCTTAAGGCAGATCATTTATTCGCGACGAGGTCGACTTATTCATTCACGTCAAGGCCAATTACTTATTCTCGACGAGTAGACACCGGGGCCGATCATTTATTCGCGACGAGACCGATTTATTCGTTAAAGGTTTGTTTACCTTTAATGCAATTGACACAAACATCAAAATCTAAGAAATTAACAAAATCAAGAATTTCATCATTAATGAGCCTTTCAATTATATTTCTTGAAATATGTCCCAAACGTTTAGACCATAGCACACTTGATTCATATAACTTTTGCTTAGTACCTATTGTTTCCTCGTTCGGGGTTTCGTTAAAGGAAGTTATAGTGTTGAGCATATATAAATTATCATTTTTCATAAAAGTATCAAAACCAACCACATTAGAATTAAAAGACAACACACCCTTATTGTTTCTAATGAAAAAAAATTAAAAAAAAAATAGAAACCAATTCCATCTAAATGAAGGTATAACAAATGTGTCTTTCACATCCACCGATTCCCCATTTCTAAAGGAAATGCGTCTTTCAGCATTAGTTGGTTCTTTTGGCTTAGACAACCCAACATTGAAACACTGATGTTAGTAGTTGAACCAGAGTCTAACTACAAGTGTTTCGAGGTATTGAAGATATATTAACTTCAGAACAAACCAAATTAAAGAATGTACCTTTCATCACGCGCCAGGAATATTACTTAGGAAAATTTTTCTTTAGATGCCCTGATTTCTTGTAAAAGAAACATGAAATCTCCGTCGGTTTACCATTGGAGCTAGACGCTTAGCAGTCTCAACCTTAACGGCCTTATGCTTTCTTTTAACGTCATCAACATCTTTCGAGGTACCAATCATATGTACCTCCTCAGTCTTATTGTGCTTCATTCTTTCTCCTTTCTTAACACATTGAGAAATGAGCTCATTAAGAATCCACTTATCCTTTTGGCAGTTGTAACTTATCTTGAACTAAACATATTGAGTAAGAAGAGATAGCAGGACCAATAGGACAGCGTGTCCTTCGAAAGTTCTAATTTTGGTGCCCTCAACTCAAAAGCAATATTGGAAATTTTGAGGATGTACTGCTTTAAGGTGCTTTTGTCTAGATACTTCATGATAATGAGAGTTTTTAAAGGAGTACTAATTTCTGTCTTATTACTTTTAGTAAAACGTTTTTCAATCTCGACAAGGAACTCTTATGCCTGAATGATATCATTAGATATCGTTCCCTAAATATTTCTAGAATGCTTTTCTTGATGACCATAAGACTAAGGCGATTAGACCTTTCCCACTTATCAAAACACTGTTTTTCCTTAGTGGTGTTGTTCTCCGTAGGTTGGTCTATCCTTAATGTCAAGTCTAGATCTATACATCCCAAATGAAGCAGAATTGATTTTTTCAGTTCTTAAGGTTGTCCTCAGACAAAGTGGGGACAAGATAGTAAATACCATAGATTAAGAACCTGAAAAGAATAATAAACAGAAGTACTCACATTATTATCCATATGGTTAATCAATTAAACCAAACATGATTTAAACCCATAGAAAGATACCAAATACGACATTAATATCAAATCTTTTGATAGTAAGAGTAATTGTAAGTGGTATTCTTATTATAATAATCAAATATTGACAATAATTTTTGTCAAATAGTAAAGCCATCTTTGGATATAATTGTTGTTCACATGAAAATTAACCTTATAATTGTCATAGATTTAATATCACAAATATGTTTGTAATTCGGCCATGTGTCAAAATACCTTATGATTTATCAGCACATACATGAATTACAATAATACAACAATTTTATGTATTTGAATGAATCAATCTATACAAAAGAGGTCACATTAACAACATTTTGTTTCAATCAATCCATTTAAATGAAGCATAAAGTGTCGCAACTTGCAGTTAACCTCGTGTCAGACAGAACCGCTTTCCAGCATGTCTCAACAGAGACGGCTCCCAACGAAGAACATATTCGAATTTAGAGGATTTTTTTGGAGAAACTGAAGGAGCTGCCATTCTCAAAATTAAATCCTTGAATCTTGAAAAGAAGGATATGTGGAGTTGGGAAGCAAATGAGAAAGGCCTGTTTTCTGTGGAAAATGCTTATGCAAAATTGATGATCAAGAAACTGATGAAGTTTGATAGGGCAGAAGGGAACAATTCTGCTAGAAAGGATAGAGAAGCAAGGGATAAATGCTGGAAGTTGAAAGTTAATAGCAAAATAAAACATCTAACTTGGAAATGCTTTACTAACTCTTTGTCAACGAGTGTAAATCTTCAGAAGAGGGGCCTTAAAGTGGACCAAATTTGTCATTGTTGTGGTGAAGCACCTGAGACCATAGAGCACATATTTTTTCAATGTAACATGGCTAAACTGGTGTGGAGACTAGCACCACTTGACTGGGGTGATTCACTGGAAGAAGCTCAGAGTATTAGAGTGTATTAGAGACTGGTGGTGGTGGTTGTCTTCCATGGAGAAGTTTGAGGTTGCTAATAAGATAATTTAGTTGTCCACGTATTTGCTATGGTGGATTTGGGTGACTAAAAACATTTGGCTATTTAAGAAATAGTGGAGGAGTGAAACAGAGGTTGTGAAGATTACTTTGGCAGATTGGTCTGATTATTCTTACAGCAACTTTGGGACTGAAAGGGTTTGAAGATTGGTGAGATTATGGCCTAGGTCCTTTTATAAGTGGGCCTTATTCTTGGTGATCTTTAGACTTCTTTGGGTTTTATTTTGGTTGGTAGTTTGTGATGTGTGTGTAGAGTTAAAGGAGTCAAATGGATGTGTTTGCTTTTAACTCTTAGTTTGGGTTGTTCTGCTCTTGTTTGTTTGGGTGTTTCTAGGCTACATTTTTATGTGGTTCTCTTGTTATGTTCGGTGATTAAGAGCTAGTTAGCTCGTCGGGTGTCAACGTTGTTTTATTTCGTGTTTTATTAGATTTNTTGCGGGCTGAGATATGCCGATGCGAGTGGGAGCCCATCAAAATCCAAATACGGTCCGATTTTTTAAAGAGGAATTTACACTCCTTACTTTAAAATTCTAATTATATTATAATTATACACCCATTATATCAATATTTATAATTGTACTAAAATAAGCCTAAAATATTGTCAATATACCTAAGACTTAACCGTTTAAATTAATTGAAAGTTACTGATTTTATGGGTGAAGATAATATCTCTCGCTCTCTCTCCGTCTCGCTCTCTCTTCCCCTCTCGCTTCGTCTTCGTCTCTCTCCCTCTCCGTCTCCTCTTCATCTTCTTCTTCTTCTTCTACAAGAATGGAATAATTATTTATTTGCTGCATTTTCATTATTTTTTCTGGATATTTGCTGCATTTTCATTATTTCTTTTGGATATTTTAGTATTGTGACATTATAATTAATATTTGTTTTATCGTGGTTGTATTTTCATTATTTATGGTGGATATTTTTCTTGTGAAATAGAGAAAAATTAGAAAAAGTAGTATGACGTTTCCACAATTTAGAAAAGTCTTTTTTTTTTTTTGGGAACGAAAGAGATATTATATCAAACCTCAAGAGAGAACATAGTTCTAATACAAACACGACTCACAGTCGATAAAGAAAAACAGAGAGGACACGCTATAGAGCGGCCTAGAAATCCCATAGACGGGATATGACCCCAACAGGGTAAAACACAAGAGCACTAACAACACAAAGGCCCCAACAGGGTAATACCCGAGTGTCGGGCCCCAACGGGGTAATAAGGTGACACTCGGGCGAATTATATGTTGTTGTTGGAAATGAGTTTTAAATGTAGATTGGTAAAATAATAATTGAAGTTTTTTCGGGTGTTTGATTAGCCATTTTAAATATAGATTGGTGATTAGGGTTTTTGTGGTGTTTATGATAAATTAATTGACAATTTTTTTTGTTGGAGTAAAAATATGATTAATTATATGTTGTTGGAAATGAGTTTTAAATGTAGATTGGTAAAATAATAATTGAAATTTTCTCGGGTGTTTGATTAGCCATTTTAAATGTAGATTGGTAAAATAATTGAAATTTTAAATGTAGATTGGTAAAATAATAATTGAAATTTTCTCGGGGTGTTTGATTAGCCATTTTGTGTTGTTGTAATTTGTAAAATAGAATTTTT